AGAATGCCAGAAAGTGGGATAACCAGAGGTAGAAGGAGCACCTTGGGAGCTGAGGGCTTGGCGAAGGCTGGTCGGATGGGCAGTCCGTGTATCCTGATCTGAGGCGGCTGCAGACCCGCCTTGAGAGCTCGTTGAGCCACATCCTTGGTGGGGCAGAAGCACACCGTCACGAGGCGGTGGAACCTGGAGGAAGGTGGTAGAGAAGACGTCGGCAGTGAGCAATTCTCCAGGTGTGTTATCATGTACGTTACCCATTGGATTTGCTTGGAGCTATGATCTTGGTGGGGCAGAGCACACCGTCATGTGCCGTGGAACTTCATGGAAGTTCTTACATAGCAATAGGTCAATGAGCGCGCCTCTCTGTGGGTTATCATGTTCACAAATCAGGACCCGAGGGACTTACGTTTGATTCACGAGGAAATTGAACTAGGGTAGAAGAGTACAAGATAGAGCCGGGAGGCACTTATACGATGCTCAGAACTTCACTGGGTCTCCTCTGATGTTCAGTGTATCGACCAATATGATTTAGGTTCAAGCCAGGGAGGCAGAAGGGGGAGACACACCAGGTGGGGTGGCATGTGGTGAGGTCGGTGACGACGGTGGTGAAGGGGATGCGGTGCAGCAGGCCTCGGGAGCGCAGCACGCGCAGAGGGATGTGCTGCATGAGCGGATGCACGCTCACAATCACGTCCGGCTTGTACTTGTCCAGCCCCTTGGACACCTCCCTGATGGAACGCAGCAGCACCAGGAACGATGGGGAAAGAGGGGAAGGGTGGGAGCGGGTGGGAAGAGGGGAACGGGGTTGATAGTTTGAAGGCTGGAAGGCAGGGATCGCAGCCTGCGCAGAGGGATGTGCTGCATGAGCGGATGCACGCTCGCTATGACATCCTGTACTTGTCCACCCCCTTGGACACCTCCCTGTTGCAACGTGGAACAGCACCAGGGAGGCGCAGGATGACACAGGGGCGAAGGGTGTTGATAATCGAAGGTATGAAACAGACAGAATCAACGTCAACAAGAGAAAATGGGATTCGCTAACGCCGCAGTCTTTGCAGGATGCATACGCAATGGCTCAAGCATTGCATGCCTCGGCTTCTTCATTTCAGTTTGAGTTGTTGATTCGCTTGTTCTTTGGCTTGTGATGGGTGGAGACCTCTTCCTGCTCGCCCAAGATAAACAGTCAGCACACTATAGCCCAGGTCTGGTTTTCCGCCCTTGGAAAGCGAGTAACACATTCCAATCCCTCTTCACTCACCTTGCAACGAACGCCGAGGTCGCGGCCATCTGCGGCTGGTGCACGAACTTGGGCTTGGTGGCGTAGAACGCCACCTTCCACAGCGTCTCGTGGCGCACGAGGAAGCTGTAGCTCTTGGGCATCTGGTTGAAGGGCCACGGCGTGTGCTCCTTCCACAGGTCGATGATGGTCACCTGGCGGAGAGGACAGTGGAGGCAGAGAGAGAAAAGGAAGCGCCTTCACACGTGTTCCAGTTGCAATGCAAAAGCGACTCACTTCATGCTTCCCCTTCTCACAAGCGCATATGCATTGTCCGTAGAAGGTTATGCTTTGGACTTGAGAATCAAAGTTACAGAATTAACAAACTTGTTTTCACTCATTGCATACGCATTGCAGACGCGATAACGGCTGCGTTGCTCTTGGCTCTGTGTCTGACTCACCTGTACCTTTTTTCCGTATTCCAGCTCAAAGGTCGACTTCATCGCCTCAGCACTGGCGCGGTGGCCTCCTCCAGTGTCGCTCATGAGAATAAGCACGCGCTTTTTGGGTCGACTCAAAATACGGCTGTGTGGTTCCATCATTGACTCACCTCGTACTTATTTCCGTATTCCAGCTCGAAGGTCGACTTGATCGCCTCAGCACTGGCGCGGTGACCTCCACCGGTGTCGCTCATGAGAATGAGCACGCGCTTCTTGCGCTCAGCGTCCGCCACTTTCTTCTCCGGCTCCGTTATTGCCGTCGCCGCGTGCTCCACGTCATTCTTGGCAGGTTCATACCGCCCATGTCGCCAGCTTTGGATTGATCCGCGGCCGCGGCGATAACCTGTTGCGGAGGAGACGTGAGGAAGAGGCACATAGAGAAGGCTGTGCACCTGAGAACAAAGGTAGTGATCAAACTGCACCCTTGGACGATGAAGAAGCGAAAAAGAGCACTTCTGGATTCGAGCGAACGAGGGATAGATACATCAACCATACTGACCCAAGGGGGTGATTCCGCGGTTGCTGCGGAAAAGATCGTTCAGCATTCGACCGAGTCCACCAGCATTGCCTCCCGCTGACATCGTCACCAAGCTCCCAGCATTCTTGTTGGACGCTCCCAACAGGTGACCGTCCGTAAGCCCTCCCTTTGCCACGACCAGTGGCTGAGGTTGACGAATGTCGTCACGAACATCGTCAAAATACAAAAGCTCGTCTGACGTTCTCGAGGCTGAACGCTTGATTGCTGAAGGAAGATTCCTGTTGTCGTCAACCCGACTCGTGCTATCCTTGCTCGTGTCCAGGTAACCAGCCGTTAATGCATTGTGCTGGGAGAAAAGGTTGGAGTTGAGACTGAGCGAAATGGAAGCCAGCGTCATGAGATTCGGTTCTGCTGAAATCTGGTGCTGTGAAGGTTCAGAGGAATCCATCTTGATTTCGCCTGGATGAGATGTTTCTTACAAGAAAGTTCTGTCACTAGTTGGAAGGTTCTGAGCTAGTAAAAAGGTTACACGCAGTAGACAAGCTGTAAAATAATAACGTGAGAAAAGTGCCTTCAAGTCGCGCAAAACAAAAACAAAACAACTTCGAATAATGACCCTGGCTTGCTGAAGGGAAAAAACTACTGACGGTAGGCTAAGCTAAGGTCGTAGACTAAGCTAACCAGCTAAGGTTCTTAGACTGCTTGTGTTGGAGCCTGCTCATTCCTATTTCTAGGACAGACTGAAAAAATGGTTGCTTGAAAGGGGAAAAAAATGGAGGTCCCAAGATGGAAATCTCGAGGACGACCAGACCAGACCTGATATGGATGTTAGGATGGGTGGGACTTGTAGGAGTGTGATGGGCGTTGAAAGAGAAGAGAAGAGGAGGCACCGGAATCAAGGGATGAAAAGCGTGTCATGACAATGGACACATCGATGTTGACGAGGGGGCAAACATTCCAGCCGTGGATTTTTCAAGCCAAGCCACACACATTGATTACCGTGATCAGTGGGATGTGGAGCACGTGGCAGTGGTGCTGGCATGTGGGCTGGGTTTGGATGAGGCCCACGAAGATGCGAGACTTCGCAATAGCTCGCTGGCATCGACGAATGTCGTCACCGAATCTGTAGCGAATCGCGAATCGCAAATTCTTCAGATGTGTCACGAATCAGTTTTTTGTTTGCAGCAAATTCCTGCATTTTATTGGCTGGAGAGAATTACAGCTGGCGGGGGGAATCCTTTGTGTCAGTGAAAAGTGCAAGCGGAGCTGGTCTTATGGACAGACAAAGCAGTCAGGAACATAGGACAGATCTTTATTGCTGTTTGCTACATTCTGCTCATTGTCATCAAACCAAAAGCTTGCTCTGTATCGAGTACAATGTTGGGTCAAACCTGCTGCTGTGGCTCGAGTTTGTCCCCCTCCAGCCCAAGTCGCTGGAGTCCAGATTGTCTGTAAACCCTAAGATGAACAATTATTGAAGGCGTTTTCCACTGTCCAGTAACTTCTGTCCCCAGTTTGAATAATTTAACATATTTGTGGTTTTAACAGGCGAATTTCTTTGCGCTACAACCGAACCGTCATGGGATCTGACGAGGACGAGATGGAGGGCAAAAAAGGAAGGCGAAGTCGCGAAGGCGCACGGGACAGCCGAGGAAAGGAGGACGATGAGAAATTAAGGGAACGAGGAGTGAAAGGGGAAAGTCGGCATCCGGATTCGAACAAGCGGGATAGGGAAAGGGAGAGAGGAAGGAGTAAGGAGATTAGGAACCGTGAAAGGAAGGGGAAAGGGCCAGAAGTTGAGGATGCAGATGCGAAGGAGGAAGAGGAGAGGAAGAAGACGAGACAGGAGAGTGATGAATGGGGGGGATCGGAGAGTGATGGGAGTGGGGGTAAGGAGGAGGAGGATCAGGAGAAGGGGAAGGGAAAGGGGAAGGAGAAGGAGAAAGAGAAGGAGAAGAGCAGCGGTCGTCACGAGAAGGGGAAGGAGAAGGGGAAGGGGAAGGGGAAGCGGCGAAGGAAAGATTCTAGTAGCGAAAGTGAGAGTGAGAGTGAAAGTGAGAGTGGGAGCGAGAGTGGGAGTGAGAGTGATGATGAGAGTTCGGAAGATAGCGAGGAGGAGAGGAGAGAGAGGAAAAGAGCGAGGAGAGAGAAGAGGAGAGGAAAGGAAGGGAGCAAGTCGAGGAAGAAGAAGAAAAGGAAGAGAGGGAGCGATGATGACGGAGAGGAGGACGAGGAGGAAGACGAGACCACGTCGGAGAGTAGTGGGAGTGAGACGGATGAGAGGAGGCTAGAAAGGAGGAGGAAAGAGAGAGAGCAGAGGAAGAAGGGGAAGGAGAGAGAGAAGAAGAGGAAAGAGAAGAGGAGGAAGAGGAAGGAGAAGAAGAAGGAGGAGAAGAGGGAGAAGAAAAAGGCGAAGAGGGAGGCTAAGAAAGAGGCCAAGTCTAAAGGGCCGGTCATGGAGTATGGGAAGTACGGTATTATTCGGGAAGTGGACATGTGGTGAGTGTCACTTAACGCGAGTGTGTTTAATGATTTACTCTGTCTGAGTAACCAGGACCCTGGACTTCGTCCCGTTTCTCAATCTTCAGCGGAATCAGCTCTCACATCCGGATTGCTTGTGCTGGTGCATACTCCTTTCCACCATCACTGCTGCTGCTTCTGCTGCTTCTACTACTTCTGCTGCTGCTGCTGCTGCTGTTGCCTTTGTCTGAAAGAGTACCCATCTTTTCTTTGCTATGCCTTGTCTCACAGGAACAAACGACCCGAGTTCAGCGCGTGGCTGGCTGAAGTGAAAAAGGTAAAACTTTTTATGTTCTCTTCTCTCCATGCGCTGACTTTCGTCATCTTCCCCTCCTCCCAGCTGCCTCCTCCCAGCTGCCTCCTCCCAGGTCCCCTCCTTCCCTCTGACCTGAGTCTTCCATGCTCATGCCCCCCCTCTGTCCCCGCTCGCTGTACACCGTGTTCCCTGGTCAGGTCTCCGCCTCCTTTCACTTACATGTTTTTGTGTGCGTGCGTGCGTGTGTGTGTGTCTGTGCGTGTGTTGGCGCGCCCGCGGGTGTGTGTGTTTGTGTGTGTGTGTGTGTGTGTGTGTGTGTGTGTGTGTTTGTGTGTGTGTGTGTGTGTGTGTGTGTGTGTGTTTGTGTGTGTGTGTGTGTGTGTGTGTGTCTTGCTGCAGGCAAATTTGGAGCAATTGAGCGGATTTGAGGAGAAGAACCTATTCAAGGAGTTCATGGAGGATCACAACACTGCCACGTTCCCATCCAAGAAGTGAGTCCCTCTGTAACGAGTCTTTTACAACACGACAGAACGCTGCGGAACTTTGTTGTGCAAGCGGAATCAGGGTACAACTGCCCAGCTGCCCCACTGCCCCCCACTTTCCCCCCCGTGCACCCTGTCCCCGTGCCTTCCTTCCCATCCGCCTTTAATGTCTGTGCTTCTGCCAGTTTCTGCAGCAACCTGGTGGCATTTTCTAGTCGCCACGCCACCTTTGAGTTGGCTCAAGTACTGTCCTGCGTCCCTTCCTGCCTCTCAACACACCTGCTTCTGTCAGGTACTACAACTTAGCAGCGTGGGAGCATCAGCAGATGACGAAGAGGAAGGGACGGCCGGATAAGCCTTCTGGAAAGGAGATGACAGAGTTTAATGATGAAGATGCGAGGAGGTGAGACGTGGTATCAGGGTTTGCCCTGACTTGTTACAATGAGGCGCCAACTCGTCTAATTAGAGGCGACTTCAAAATCTGACAAGGATTTTGGAAAGGAGATCACAGAGTTCAATGATAAAGATGTGAGGAGGTGAGAGGTGAGAGGTGGTCGTGGGCTCGGCTCTGCACTGACTGTGTGTTGACTTACTGGCTCGTTGCCTGTGTTGACTTACTGACTCGTTGCCTGTGTTGACTTACTGGCTCGTTGCCTGTGTTGACTTACTGACTCGTTGCCTGTGTTGACTTACTGACTCGTTGCCTGTGTTGACTTACTGGCTCGTTGCCTGTGTTGACTTGCTGGCTCGTTGCCTGTGTTGACTTGCTGACTCGTTGCCTGTGTTGACTTGCTGGCTCGTTGCCTGTGTTGACTTGCTGACTCGTTGCCTGTGTTGACTTGCTGGCTCGTTGCCTGTGTTGACTTGCTGGCTCGTTGCCTGTGTTGACTTGCTGACTCGTTGCCTGAGTTGACTTGCTGACTCGTTGCCTGTGTTGACTTGCTGGCTCGTTGCCTGTGTTGACTTGCTGACTCGTTGCCTGTGTTGACTTGCTGACTCGTTGCCTGAGTTGACTTGCTGACTCGTTGCCTGTGTTGACTTGCTGACTCGTTGCCTGTGTTGACTTGCTGACTCGTTGACAGTCTTGACTGCGTTGACTTGTTGACTCTATTAACCCTGCCTTTACGCTCACCTGATTCTCCGCTGTCAACCTTCCTGTGCTGCTGTCCCTGCATATGAAACTTGACATTTCTCCCCTCGCCTTGCCTTGCCTTGCATGGCAGGGAGGAGATTCGCCGGGAGAGGGAGAAGCAGAAGGAGGAGGAGGTGCTGGCGCTCAAGCGCAGCATGGAGTCGGGCATGGTAAGAATGAGGGGTTCTGGGGGGGCTTGGAGCGGTTGTGGGGGGTTGTGGGGGGGTTGTGGGGGGTTTTAGGGGGTTGAGAGGGGCTGTGGGGGGTATGCGTTGGTTGTGTATGTCCCATAGCAGAAGGAGGAGGAGGTGCTGGCGTTCAAGCGCAGCATGGAGTCGGGCATGGTGAGACGAGACACAGAAACGGTTTTGGGGGTTGGGAAGGGTTGTGGGCCGGCTGGGATGGGTTCTGGGGGGTTGGAATGGGTTGTGGGCGGATTGTGGGCGGGTTGTGGGGGGGTTGCGGCGGTGGTTGCGGGGGTTGGGAAGATCGAGCAGAAGGAGGAGGAGGTGCTGGCGCTCAAGCGAAGCATGAAGTCGGGCATGGTGAGAAAGAGGGGTGGAGGGTGGAGTGGTTCTAGGGGGTTGGGGCGGTGGGTGGGCTTTTGAGGCGCCTCAAAAGAGAAAGAGGGGTGGAGGGTGGAGTGGTTCTAGGGGGTTGGGGCGGTGGGTGGGCTTTTGAGGCGCCTCAAAAGAGAAAGAGGGGTGGAGGGTGGAGTGGTTCTAGGGGGTTGGGGTGGTGGGTGGGCTTTTGAGGCGCCTCAAAAGAGAAAGAGGGGTGGAGGGTGGAGTGGTTCTAGGGGGTTGGGGCGGTGGGTGGGCTTTTGAGGCGCCTCAAAAGAGAAAGAGGGGTGGAGGGTGGAGTGGTTCTAGGGGGTTGGGGCGGTGGGTGGGCTTTTGAGGCGCCTCAAAAGAGAAAGAGGGGTGGAGGGTGGAGTGGTTCTAGGGGGTTGGGGTGGTGGGTGGGCTTTTGAGGCGCCTCAAAAGAGAAAGAGGGGTGGAGGGTGGAGTGGTTCTAGGGGGTTGGGGCGGTGGGTGGGCTTTTGAGGCGCCTCAAAAGAGAAAGAGGGGTGGAGGGTGGAGTGGTTCTACCAGATACAGTGAGCGACTGTGCCGCAGTGGCTGTGGAGATGGTGGGCTTGTCCCCACCAGATACAGAGCAAAGATCTGGCGAACAGAAGGAGGTTCTGGTTTATGCTTTTTGAGGCGCCTCAAAAATTTTCCCCACCAGATACAGAGCAAAGATCTGGCGAACAGAAGGAGGTTCTGGTTTATGCTTTTTGAGGCGCCTCAAAAATTTTCCCCACCAAATACAGAGCAAAGATCTGTCGAACAGAAGGAGGTTCTGGTTTATGCTGTTTGCATGGGTTCATGGCGGTGTGGCCGTATGGCTGCATGGCCGTATGGCTGCACGGCTGCATGATGCATCATGTGCATTTGTTCATGCTGCCTCCTCACGTTTTGCCCCGTGCATTTCTTGTTTTATTTCTGCCTTTCTCCTGATTGATTCCCAGGCGCAAGCAATGAGAGACCAGGAGCGACTCAAGGAGGAGCTGCGCTGTGGCATGCTGTTCCATGCCCTTCCATTCCATTCACACCGTGCCGTTTCTGTGCCGCTTGCACTCCCGTCCAATGCTCTCCTTGCTTATTACCAGGCTCAAGCAATGAGAGACCAGGAGCGACTCAAGGAGGAGCTGCGCTTCCTCTATCAGATTGGCAACTACGAGGTGAACCTTACTCCTGCTCTTGTTACACTGGTGGTAGTGGTTCAGTCACTTTCTTGGTTGACTCAAAAGCGACTCAAGGAGGAGCTGCGCTTCCTCTATCAGATTGGTAGTGGTTCAGTCACCTTTGTGGTTTTGCTCCTGCTCTTCTAACGCTTTTGTGATATAGTGGTTCATTTGCTCCTGAATATTGTCATTCCCGCCCAACATCCTAAGCATCTCAGCTGGTTCTCTTATGGTACCTTATGGTAACACCTTTCTTCCTCGCCTGTCTGCCTCCTTGTTTCGCTCTAAAGATTTCTTCATCGGTGTGACCATTGCCTGTCCGCCGCACGCAAACCCTCTATTGTTTTCTGCACAGACACTATCCTTTGCCTGTCCTCCTGTGCGTACAGTATCAAGCAACTTGCTGTGTGCTTTTTAGGTGCCCCGAAGATCAATCTGTGCTCCGTATGCTCCTTCTGCTCATTATGTGATTTGCTGTGGAATTCTGCTGCTTGCTGTGTGTCTTGCTTGCCTGCACTTGCCTTTCAGGGAGCTGCTGCCATTCAAAAGAGGCTTGAACCGGATGATCCTTCTAAGCGGTAGTAGAACACCTGTTTCCTTTCTCATAGCAAAGATGTGTTTTTTAAGTGGAACGTTGGGTATTTCTCTTTGTTCAGTAGGCTTCTAGGTCAAAATGGATGCATGTAATGGCTCAAATTTCTCATTGTTGTCTGAAATATGACACGCAAAAGCACTGACTGAATGAACGACAGTTTTGAGTACAATACCGCACACTGGGTCTTCAAGGGCTTGGATGTTGCTCTTATTTACGGTAAGTGACACACAAGTGTCCTGCCGTAACATACTAAGTTCCGTACGAAATTTCAGTACTCCTGCCTGCCTGTCTATCTGCCCCGTCTAAAATCTTTCTAGGTATGTATGGCTGTAAAGCTTAGCGATCCTCCGCAGCCTCCTCCGCATCCGAACCATCAAGCCTCAGCCTCTTGGCTCGGTCCGAGACTCCACCAGTGAAAGAAGCAGGTCGTTTGGATCGTGCACCGAGCACTGCAGGCATTAAGGGTGGTAGCACCTCTCCTCCACTGGAAACACCTTCAATTCTCTCCATGGAGATAGCATGCGTCTCTCTACTCAAATCGTCTTCAACTCTTTCCCCCGCTTGATCATCTCTTCTCCCGCATTCTGCCAGCTCTCCACCTCCAACCTGATCATCCCTCTTACCACTTTCCTCACAGCCCCTCTCCTCCAAGGGCATGCTCTGTTCGACCCTCCCCCTCACACCCTCTCCTGTATCTTTCACTCGAGCTGTCAAGAAAATCCCTTCCCCCTCATACCCGCTGAATTCATCATCCCCCATCCTCCCCTGCTGTCTCTCTTTCTCCCCTCCAGACTCGTCGCTCTCTCTCTCTGCTCCCCCTCCTCCACACTCATCCCCCTCTCCCTCACTACCCCCATGGCTGTTCAACCCTGGCTGTTGCACCTCGCCTGTCTCTCCTTCCGCTCTCCGCTTTTTGTGCCTGGGACCTAAACACGCCCTAATAACTCCCCCTTCTCCCTCTAGATCCTCCCGTCCTCCCTCTCCTTGCTCTCTTCCCTCTCTATCTTTCCCTCCCCCCTCTCTATCCTCCTCTTCCCCCACTCCTTCGTCTCCTCCTCTCTCCTCCCCTCCTTTTCTCACCCCTTCTCCCTCTCTATCCTCCCTTCCCTCACTCCCCTCCCCTTCCTTTCTCCCCTCCCCTCCTCCCCCTCTCTCCTCCACAACAACCATCTGCATCCCCCCCCCACCATCCATGCATGAGCTTCCACCCTCCACCATGCGTGCGAGCATGCTCACAGCGTGCAGCAGCCACTGGGTGCCCCGGTCCCCAGGGACCCTCCAGCAGCCATCAGCCTCGTCAGGGTGCTTCAAACACAGCGCTGTTTGGAAGGCATGGAAGGGAAGTCGAGGGAGAGAGAGGGAAGGCGGGTGAGTGATGCAAGCATGCTCACAGCATGCAGCAGCCACTGGGTGCAGTGGTCAGCGGGGTCTCTCCAGCAAGCATCAGCCTCGTCAGGGTGCTTCAAGAACAGCGCTGTTGGGTGGGCAGAAAAGAAGCAGAAACGGATGGGAGGTGAAGGGAAGGGGAGAGAGGAAGGTCATTGAGTGTTGTGTGAGCCACACCTGAGAGCAACAGACAAAAAGCACCTGAGAGCACACCTGAGAGCAACAGACAAAAAGCACCTGAGAGCACACCTGAGAGCAACAGACAAAAAGCAACTGAGAGCACACCTGACAGCAACAGACAAAAAGCACCAGAGGGCACACCTGAGAGCAACAGACAAAAAGCACCTGAGAGCACCTGAGAGCAACAGACAACACACCTGAGAGTAGCTGCGCCATGCTGTCATTCGCCACTGTGTCCCAATCTTCCAGTTCCTCCACCAACGGAAAGTCTACATGCACAACTTCCCCCCACCCCCCATCCCCCTCCTCCTCTCCTCCCTCCCCTTCCTCCTCCTCTTCGTCCTCCTCCTCCTGCCCTCTCCTCCTCTTCCCCTTCTTCCCCTTCTCCTTCCCCTTCCCCCCCTTTTTTCTTCCCCTTCCTGCCAGGCCAATCTGGGCCGTCCATCAGCAGGAGCTGCCAGCTGTTTCGAGCGATCGCGTCCGTCCAGCTGGCGTGGGCTGCTTTCAGGCGCGATTGCAGCCATTGGATCGCCTCTGCTCCATCAAAGGAATCTGTAAGAAGAAGGGAGGAATGGGGTTGGGGGGATGGGGGGGAATGGGGGAGGAAAAAAGATTGGCAGGTACGGGGGAGGACAGAGAAGAGTAGAGATGAGATTTGTATCGTAAAAACGGACATTGAAAGATGGGTATACAGAAGCAGTCAAGAGGAACCATGGAAGAGGGAAGGCGAGAAGTGGGAAGGGAGAGGGCTTTGAGGAAGATAAGAAAGCAACGGAAGAAGGAGCGGGGCGAGAGAGGCAATTACCATCAGCAAGCACTGCTTGAACGCCCTCCCGCACGGCTTCCTCTTTCAACTCCACTTCCCCTTCCAGTCCCATAGACGCATCTCACAAGGCAATGGAGACGGGAGAGGGGATAAGAGCTCTTACCATCAGCAAGCACTGCTTGAACGCCCTCCCGCACGGCTTCACCCTTCAACTCCACCCTCTCCTCCACTCCCACAGCAGCACTTGCAATAGAAGCACCTCCGAAAAGAGCACTCCATGTTATAGGCGCTGCAGCAATAGCAGTGCTGTTTGGAACAACGATTGCCCCTCGGTCTCCCTCCAAATTCATTGCACCATCCCCACCAGCAGCATGGCTGCCTGTAGTCCATTCCTCTTCCTGGGCCTCCTCCTCCCTTCGCATCTCTCCTCCTCTTGCTGCTCCTCCTCCCCTCTGCCTCCTGTCACTCCTCTGCCCTCGCCTCACTTTAGCAGCAGCAGCTAGCGCCCTCTGTCTTCTGCTCAGCAGCACATTCTCCTCATCCTCGGTACTCTCTGCCTCCTCTTGAGAGGTCTTGTCAGTCCTTCCACCTCGCCTTCCTCTAGCTGTGGCTGCTGCAGCAGAAGCGAAACCAGCCAGAACCCTCTGTCTTCTGCTCAGCAGCACATGATCCTCATCCTCACTACTCTCCGCCTCCTCCCTTTCATCCTCCTCGAGACCCTCCTCTCCTTCCTCACCTTCCACTGCTTTCTCTCCTCCTACCTCTTCCTCCTCTGTCTCTCCGTCTTCCTTCTTTCTCTCCTCTCCCTCCTCTCTCTCATCTCCTTCCTCTCCTTCACCCACTCCCCTCAGAATCTCATCAAACCCACTCCCACTCCCTCGTCTCCTCCTCTCACTCCTCTTCCTGCCCGTTCCATCCTCCTCGGGCAGCCCAAGAAACTGAATCCTCTGGGCAACCCGGGCAACCGAAAACTTCCCTCCCATAGCCTTAGCAACCTCTTTCGCAACAGCACCCTTGCCTCTCCTGCCCTTACTCCTGCTGCCGCTGCTGTTGCTGCAACTGCTATACCCCACCTGAACCCCTGTAGCATCACTGTATAGACTCTTGATCATTGCATCATCCTCCTCTGTGAATGGGAGACTGCCGCGCCTCTGTGTGTTCCTCGCCCCTTTTGCCTTCAACCCCGTTTTCAACCCCACGCCTTTTCCCCCCTCTTCTCCCCTAAGCTCCGCTCCTTCTCCACCGATCTCCACACCTCCCTCTCCCTCTGCACCTCCTTCTTTCCTCTCTCCCTCCTTCCTTTCGCCCTCCTCCCCAGCCCCCCACCCCATCTCCCCTCCCTCCATCTCCTCAAAACCAATTTCTTCCTCCACCTCACTCTCTCCCTCACTCCCTCCCTCACTCGCTCCCTCACTCACCTCTCTCCCAGCATCCCCGTCCTCAGAATCACTGTCGAACACCAGATGCCTCCTCTTTCCCTTCTTCCCCACACTCACACGTGATCTGCCAGTCCGTCTCTCCCCAAGCTTTCCTTTCCCAGCCTTGCCTTTCCTGCCCCCTGCCATACCACCACCCTCGCCACCACCATCGCCACCACCATCGCCACCAGCACCATCACCATCATCACCATCACCACCCCTTGATTCCCCTCCCCCCACTGTCGTTTCCGCCTTGCTCCTCTTCAGCCCCTGCGACCGCAAAAACCGGCTGAGTTTCCCCGCAAGTGCTCTTATCGAGTCAGCTTTTATCGAGTCCGCATCGACAGCAGCTGTAGGGCCGCTTACAGGAGCACCCCTTTTCTCCGCAGCTCCCCCCTCCTCTCCAACGTCCTCCCCTTCCTCCACTCCCCCCTCTTCCCCCTCTTCCCCCTCTTCCCCGCCTTCCCTAGGTTCCCCTTCCTTCCCTGGTTTTTTACGGCGGGTGGAATGAAGAAGGCTGGGGTCATGGGCGATGAGAGCCTTTGCTATCAGTGATGGCATATCTCGCCTTGACTTGTGGCTGATGAGAGAGACGGGAGAAGGTGGGGAGAGGACAGGGGGCGTGGAGGGAAGGAAGGGGGCCGATGAGGGGAAGTGGAAAGCGTGTGGAAGGAAGGAAAGCCACGTGAAGCGAGGTTGTTTTTGAGACGTCACAGGGTAAGGTGTGTAAGGGTAAGGTGTGTAAGGGTAAGGTGTGTAAGGGTAAGGTGTGTAAGGGTAAGGTGTGTAAGGGTAAGGTGTGTAAGGGTAAGGTGTGTAAGGGTAAGGTGTGTAAGGGTAAGGTGTGTAAGGGTAAGGTGTGTAAGGGTAAGGTGTGTAAGGGTAAGGTGTGTAAGGGTAAGGTGTGTAAGGGTAAGGTGTGTAAGGGTAAGGTGTGTAAGGGTAAGGTGTGTAAGGGTAAGGTGTGTAAGGGTAAGGTGTGTAAGGGTAAGGTGTGTAAGGGTAAGGTGTGTAAGGGTAAGGTGTGTAAGGGTAAGGTGTGTAAGGGTAAGGTGTGTAAGGGTAAGGTGTGTAAGGGTAAGGTGTGTAAGGGTAAGGTGTGTAAGGGTAAGGTGTGTAAGGGTAAGGTGTGTAAGGGTAAGGTGTGTAAGGGTAAGGTGTGTAAGGGTAAGGTGTGTAAGGGTAAGGTGTGTAAGGGTAAGGTGTGTAAGGGTAAGGTGTGTAAGGGTAAGGTGTGTAAGGGTAAGGTGTGTAAGGGTAAGGTGTGCAAGCAGGCTGAAGTGCCGGGCTGTTTTTGAGACGTCTCAAAAACAATCTCGCTTCACGTGGAAACACGCTGGGATTTGTGTGCGATCAGAGCCTTTGCTATCAGTGATGGCACCTCCCTCCCGCCTTGTCTTGTGGCTGATGGAGTGGGGGAGAGGCGGGAAGGAGGAGGGGGAGGAAGGTCAGTTGGAGGAATCAGGCTGGGATTCGTGTGCAATCAGAGCCTTTGCTATTAGTGATGGCACCTCCAGCCGTGTCTTGTGGCTGATCCGGGCAAGAGAAGGGGGAGAGGGCAGGAAGGAAGTGCGGAAAGGTAAGGGAGACAGAGGGGGACGATGAGGGGCGGAAGGGGGTAATGAGGAGTGGAGGAGGAAGGCCCGTGGGAGGAAGCACGCTGGGGTCATGTGCAATTAGAGCCTTTGCAGCGAGTGTTTTTGAGAATTCTCAAAAAAGCACGCTGGGGTCATGTGCAATTAGAGCCTTTGCTATCACCAAAGTTCATGTCACACGTACATTTTAACAAAGATGACTTTTGAGTCGACTCAATAGTCGTCATCTTTGCTATCACTGAATTTCATGTCACCCGTACACTTTAATAACCAGATTGCTCCTCCACACCTGCCATACCTGTTCTTCCTCTCTCATACCTGCGTTTAAGACTAACTTTTGTTTGATTTGATTATTGAGGCGCCCAAAGACCAGGATCACTCTCGTACCTTTCCTGCCGCTCTTAGAAAGGCCCTCGCCCATAGTTCCATTCTTACCTCTCGAAAAGCTCTCGTATCCTCCTCTCCTGGTCTTCTGAAAACGCTCGTGCCCTGCCCCTTCCCTTGCTGCCAAGCATTAGAGTGAACGGGGAGGTGGAAAAGCAAGTGGTTTCGAGAGGTGGAAAGCAAGGTGGAGAGAAAGAGGAGGTTGACTCTAAAGTCGCTCGCGCCGTGTCCCTGCCCTTGCCACTATTAGAGTGAACGGAGAGGAAGATGGGGAGGAAAAGGTGGTGCTGGAGTGAGTAGGAAGTACTTTTGAGGCGCCTCAAAAGTGAACGGAGAGGAAGATGGGAAAAGGTGGTGCTGGAGTGAGTAGGAAGTACTTTTGAGGCGCCTCAAAAGTGAACGGAGAGGAAGATGGGGAGGACGAGGTGGTGCTGGAGTGAGTAGGAAGTACTTTTGAGGCGCCTCAAAAGTGGACGGAGAGGAAGATGGGGAGGAAAAGGTGGTGCTGGAGTGAGTAGGAAGTACTTTTGAGGCGCCTCAAAAGTGAACGGAGAGGAAGATGGGGAGGACGAGGTGGTGCTGGAGTGAGTAGGAAGTACTTTTGAGGCGCCTCAAAAGTGGACGGAGAGGAAGATGGGGAGGAAAAGGTGGTGCTGGAGTGAGTAGGAAGTACTTTTGAGGCGCCTCAAAAGTGAACGGAGAGGAAGATGGGGAGGACGAGGTGGTGCTGGAGTGAGTAGGAAGCAGGAATGCCCCAATGTCGTTTCAAAACGAAGGGCCTTACACTTTTACTTGCTCTGTTCTAACATGCGTACCCCCTCTTATCTCACCTCTTGCCAGCAGTAGTATCAGGCGCCTCCCACTCTTCAACACTCTCACCTTCTTGTATATTACCGGAGAAAGTTCTGCTACTGTCGCCCCTTCTCTCACCTCTTGCCAGCGGCAGCATCAGGCGCCCCCCACATCTGCCCCACAATCCTGCAACACATCTGTGATAAGTCGAGTTTTGAGTCGACTCAAAACTCGACTTATCGCAGCAGCCCCATAATCCCCCAACACATCTCTCAACCCCCCACTCTTCAACACTCCCACCTTCTTGCATATTACCAGAAGAAAAAACCTGTTACTGTCGCCCCTTCTCTCACCACTTGCCAGCAGCAGCAGCAGCAGCATCATCAGCAACATCAGCGGCCCACCACATGCCTCGAGGCAGCTCCACGTCTGCTTCATCATCCTCCAACGCGTCTCTCAACCCCCCTCTCCTCAACACTCCCACCTTCTTGCATATTACCGAAAAAAACTCCGTTTCTGTCGCCCCTTCTCTCACCTCTTGCCAGCAGCAGCAGCAGCAGCAGCAGCAGCAGCAGCATCAGCAACATCAGCAGCCCACCACATGCCTCGAGGCAACTCCACATCTGCTTCATCATCCCCCAACGCATCCCTCAACCCCCCAATCCTTACATTCTCCCGTCCCCCCTTTTCTCCCCCCTTTCCTCCTCCCCCACTCCCTCTCCGCCTCCCTTTCCCCCCACTCGCCGCCTCCCATCCCTCTTCCCCATCCCCGCCTCCCGCTCTCCCGCCCACCCACCCCCCCGACCTAAGCTCCCCCAGTGCCACGTCAGCAGCGAGAACCATGCTTTCTTTCCGCGATTTGTGGAAGAGGAGGCGGAGGAAGAGGGAGGGGCGCAGGGGGAGGAGGGCAGAGAGGTGGCGGACGGTGGAGGAGAGGAAGGTCAGGAGGGGCGCGTGCAGAGGGGAGGAGCGCAGGTCTGGGTTGGTTAGGAGCTTGTAAAAGGTGTGTAGGGTTGATACCTGGTGAGGAGGGGGGGAGAAGGGGAAGGGGAGCGTTCGTTAGATGACCTAGAGGTGCGTGCAGGGGGGAGGAGTGCAGGTCTGGGTTGGTTAGGAGCTTGTAGAATGTGTGTAGGGTTGATACCTGGTGAGGAGGGGGGGAGAAGGGGAAGGGGAGCGTTCGTTAGATGACCTAGAGGTGCGTGCAGGGGGGAGGAGCGCAGGTCTGGGTTGGTTAGGAGCTTGTAGAATGTGTGTAGGGTTGATACCTGGTGAGGAGGGGGGGAGAAGGGGAAGGGGAGCGTTCGTTAGATGACCTAGAGGTGCGTGCAGGGGGGAGGAGTGCAGGTCTGGGTTGGTTAGGAGCTTGTAGAATGTGTGTAGGGTTGATACCTGGTGAGGAGGGGGGGAGAAGGGGAAGGGGAGCGTTCGATAGATGACCTAGAGGTGCGTGCAGGGGGGAGGAGCGCAGGTCTGGGTTGGTTAGGAGCTTGTAGAATGTGTGTAGGGTTGATACCTGGTGAGGAGGGGGGGAGAAGGGGAAGGGGAGCGTTCGTTAGATGACCTAGAGGTGCGTGCAGGGGGGAGGAGCGCAGGTCTGGGTTGGTTAGGAGCTTGTAAAAGGTGTGTAGGGTTGAGACCTGGGGGGAGGGGGGAGGTGGGGGGAAGGGAGATAGGGGAAAGGGCAGCGGAGTGTGCTTTAGGTGACCTAGAAACAGGGGTGCGTGCAGAGGGGAGGAGCGGAGGTCGGGGTTGGTTAGGAGCTTGTATAAGGTGTGTAGGGTTGAGACCTGGGGGGAGGGGGGTCAGTGGGGGCAGGGGAAACGGGAGAAAGGGTAGAGGACTAATCTTGAGACGCCTCAACAACAGGGGAGCATGAAGGGGGAAGGAAAGGGAAAAAGAGGGAGGGGCGGAGGGGGAGGAGGGCGGAGAGGTGGCGGACAGTAGAGGAGAGGAACGAGAGGAGGGGCGCGTGCAGGGGGGAGGAGCGGAGGTCTGGGTTGGTGAGAAGCTTGTAAAAGGTGTGTAGGGTTGAGACCTGGGGGGAGGGAGGGATGTGGGGATAGGGAGAAAGGGAGATGGGGAAAAGGGCAGACTAGCGTTCTTTAGGTGACCTAGAAACAGGGGTGCGCGCAGAGGGGAGGAGCGGAGGTCGGGGTTTGTTAGGAGCTTGTAAAAGGTGTGTAGGGTTGAGACCTGGGGGGAGAGGGGGGGTGGGGGGAAGGGAGACAGGGGAAAGGGCAGGGGAGTGTGCTTTAGGTGACCTAGAAACAGGGGTGCGTGCAGAGGGGAGGAGCGGAGGTTGGGGTTGGTTCGGAGCTTGTAGAAGGTGTGCAGGGTTGACACCTGGAGGGAGGGGGATGGGAAGGGAGATGGGGGGAAAGTGCATGGGAGCGTTATTTCAAGTGACCTGAAAACAGGGGCGTGTGCAGAGGGGAGGAGCGGGGGTCTGGGTTGGTGAGGAGCTTGTTGAAGGTGTGTAGGGTTGATACCTGGAGGGAGGGGGGATGGGGGGAGAGGGCGGATGGGGGTAGAGGGAAGATGGGGGACTTGTCAGGGTGCAGGGTGTAAGGGTTCAGACCTGGAATACACCTGAAATACACCTGAGGAGGCCTGAGAAAGCACCTGAAGACGCACCGTGAGGAAGGTCCTGAGAAATCACCTAAGAAATCACCTGACAAATCACCTGAGACCCACCTGGAACAGCATGGCCTCAGCATCGCACCCCACAGTGAACCTCCTGAGCAGCGACAGCACATAGTGGTTGACACGTGGCGCGTTGCTATTGGCCGTTTCCAGCAGCCAAACACAGTTCTTAACCGCGTGCACATCAGCAAACCCCCTTATAGTGCGCTTCACATCTAGTTCATACTCCCGAACCTCCTCCCGCCCCCGCCGACCCTCCTCCTCCGCCTCCTCTATGCCGTCCCCAGGCTCGGCATCCGAGCCTATGTCCGAGCCTGCATCCGAGGCTAGGTCCGAGCCTGGGTCAGAATCTTCCGGGCCTTCTCCGTCTGCTGCTGCCTCTTCCTCTTCATTATCTTCCGCATCAGCAACAGCAGCAGCAGCAGCAGCAGCAGCAGCATCAGCAAGAGCAGCAGCAGCACCAGCAGCAGCAGCAGCACCACCACCACCACCACCACCACCACCACCACCACCACCACCACCACCACCACCACCACCACCACCACCACCACCACCACCACCACCACCACCAGCAGCAGCAGCAGCAGCAGCAGCAGGGCTAGCACTGCCAACTTCCCCCTGTTCTATCCCCCCCTCCTGCCCTTCCTTTTCTCCGGATTCACGTCTTTCACCCCTTTTATCTGCAGCATCAGGTGCAGCATTATTGTCACAACCACCAGCAGCATCACCAACCCCACCCCCAACATTAGCAGCGGCAGCATTACTACCACCATCAGCACCCGCAGCACCATCAGCACCCGCAGCAGCAGCATTTTCCCCTTCCTGATTTCCCTCCTGAGCCGTCTCCTGCTCACCCCGCTGCTCTCCCTCCTGCTCTCCCTCCTGAACCCCCTCCGCTCCCACTTTTGCACTCTTCCCCTTCCCCGTTGCCTTCCCTGCCTTGTTCTTCCGCTGTCGACTCTTTCTCACCACCTGCAGCGGCCAAGGTTACAAGCACGTGCTTTGAGACGTCTCAAAACACTTCTTCAAACACGTGGCAAAAAGAGCAAAAAAAAGTTCAGAGTCAACTCGTTCTGAGGCACACGTGGGTGGCTTCAACAGCATCCACCAGCAAGCACACGTGGGTGTGTGTGGCCAATACCCTACCTTCACTGCACCTTCCATCGCAACTAGATACACCAGCAGTTGGATCGGAGGCACACGTGGGTGGCTTCAACAGCATCCACCAGCAAGCACCTTTCAACACCTGCTGCACCACATGCAGCACATGCACCCTCAACGCACCTTAAGTGCCCCTTCTGTTTGAACGAGGTACTCGAGCAGTCCCAGGCACACAGCATCCACCAGCAAGCAGCGCGGCTGCGTGTGCGGGTTGAATCCCTTCAGCACCCGCTGCAGCACATGCACCCTCAATGCACCTTAGGTCCATGCACCCTCACATGTCAGTTTACCTCCACACACCTTGAGTGCACCTTCCGTTCGAACCAAGTCTTCGAGCAATCTCAGGCACACGTGGGTGGTTTCCACTGCATCAACCAGCAAGCAGCGCGGCTGAGTGTGTGGGTTGAATCCCTTCAGCACTCGCTGCACCACATGCACCCCTCCACGCCTTTTGAGGCGCCTCAAAAGTCTCTCAACACCCGCTCCACCACATGCACCCCTCCACACACCTTGAGTGCACCTTCCGTTCGAACCAAGTCTTCGAGCAATCTCAGGCACACGTGGGTGGTTTCCACTGCATCAACCAGCAAGCAGCGCGGCTGAGTGTGTGGGTTGAATCCCTTCAGCACTCGCTGCACCACATGCACCCCTCCACGCCTTTTGAGGCGCCTCAAAAGTCTCTCAACACCCGCTCCACCACATGCACCCCTCCACACACCTTGAGTGCACCTTCCGTTCGAACCAAGTCTTCGAGCAATCTCAGGCACACGTGGGTGGTTTCCACTGCATCAACCAGCAAGCAGCGCGGCTGAGTGTGTGGGTTGAATCCCTTCAGCACTCGCTGCACCACATGCACCCCTCCACGCCTTTTGAGGCGCCTCAAAAGTCTCTCAACACCCGCTCCACCACATGCACCCCTCCACACACCTTGAGTGCACCTTCCGTTCGAACCAAGTCTTCGAGCAATCTCAGGCACACGTGAGTGGTTTCCACTGCATCAACCAGCAAGCAGCGCGGCTGAGTGTGTGGGTTGAATCCCTTCAGCACTCGCTGCACCACATGCACCCCTCCACGCCTTTTGAGGCGCCTCAAAAGTCTCTCAACACCCGCTCCACCACATGCACCCCTCCACACACCTTGAGTGCACCTTCCGTTCGAACCAAGTCTTCGAGCAATCTCAGGCACACGTGGGTGGTTTCCACTGCATCAACCAGCAAGCAGCGCGGCTGAGTGTGTGGGTTGAATCCCTTCAGCACTCGCTGCACCACATGCACCCCTCCACGCCTTTTGAGGCGCCTCAAAAGTCTCTCAACACCCGCTCCACCACATGCACCCCTCCACACACCTTGAGTGCACCTTCCGTTCGAACCAAGTCTTCGAGCAATCTCAGGCACACGTGGGTGGTTTCCACTGCATCAACCAGCAAGCAGCGCGGCTGAGTGTGTGGGTTGAATCCCTTCAGCACTCGCTGCACCACATGCACCCCTCCACGCCTTTTGAGGCGCCTCAAAAGTCTCTCAACACCCGCTCCACCACATGCACCCCTCCACACACCTTGAGTGCACCTTCCGTTCGAACCAAGTCTTCGAGCAATCTCAGGCACACGTGGGTGGTTTCCACTGCATCAACCAGCAAGCAGCGCGGCTGAGTGTGCGGGTTGAATCCCTTCAACACCCGCTCCACCACATGCACCCCTCCACGCCTTTTGAGGCGCCTCAAAAGTCTCTCAACACCCGCTCCACCACATGCACCCCTCCACACACCTTGAGTGCACCTTCCGTTCGAACCAAGTCTTCGAGCAATCTCAGGCACACGTGGGTGGTTTCCACTGCATCAACCAGCAAGCAGCGCGGCTGAGTGTGCGGGTTGAACCCCTTCAACACCCGCTGCAGCACATGCACCACTCCGTCGCTCGAATCGTCGTAGAACAGCCGTAGCAGCATGGCCCGTGCCAGCCGAACCTCCCGCCGAACCTCCCACCGGACCTCCTGCCGAACCTCGTCGAGAGGTTCGGCCGAGCCTGTTGTTGAAGGGGTGGGCTTCTCTCCAGATTTGATTATGGCATCGAGCATGTGAATCTGTGGGGTAGAAACAGGGTGGGTGGGGGGAGGGAGGAGGGGCATTAAAAAAAAATCAGAAGGCGCCAACAAAAGAAGCGAAAACAAGCAACCCAAGGGGAAATCAAGAAAGGGTAGGGAGGGGGTGCTCGAATCAAGATGCTCACCATTTCTTTCAGCAGGCTGCCCGTCGCAACCAGCGCTGCCCGCTCGTGATTGGCCCGGGCAGCATACTCTGCCCAGCGGGCAGAAACAAGAGTGAACATGTCATCATCCATCGTGGCCGCTATTGGCCCACAACCACACACTCCTCGCTGCTCCACCTTCCCAGAAGCTTCCTCTGTTCCTGCTCTTTCCCCTTCTTCCTGTTTTTCCTTTCCTTCTCCTCCTCCTCCTCCTCCTCCTCCTCCTCCTCCTCCTCCTCCTCCTCCTCCTCCTCCTCCTCCTCCTCCTCCTCCTCCTCCTTCTCCTGGTTCTCCTCCTCCTCCTCCTCCTCCTCCTCCTCCTCCTCCTCCTCCTCCTCCTCCTCCTCCTTCTCCTGGTTCTCCTCCTCCTCCTCCTCCTCCTCCTCCTCCTCCTCCTCCTCCTCCTCCTCCTCCTCCTCCTCCTCCTCCTCCTCCTCCTCCTCCTCCTCCTCCTTCTCCTCCTCCTCCTTGTCCCCCTGCTTCCGCCTCCTTTGCTCCTGCTTCCTCTCCTGCCCCCCCTGCCGTCCCCCCGGCAACCCCCTCCTTTCCCCCGGCCACCCCCCCCCAGCCCCGCAGGCCATGCATCTCCCGTTGAAACGCAGTGAAGAAGGAAGCCACGAGGAAGAATGCGAGAGTGTCCGAGGGCTCTAGCCCTGCCCGCCAGGCCGCCACGTCCCGACGAACCGTCTCCATGAGAACTGGAGGGAGAGGGGGAAAAAACGGGGGGTGGAAGCGTGAGTATTGAATGGAGCCAAAAGGAAGAAAGGAAGAAGGCGAGCGTGTCCGAGGGCTCTAGTAGTCCCGCCCGCCAGGCCGCCACGTCGCGACGAACCGTCTCCATGAGCACTGGAGGGCGGGGGAGGAAGAGTGGGTAAGGGCGGAGGGGGGAATGGGGAAGGAAGGGTGAGTAACGAATCAACCCAAGGGTAAGAAGGCTTTTGAGACCTCTCAAAAGGGTAAGAAGGCGAGGGTGTCCGAGGGCTCTAGTCCTGCCCGCCAGGCCGCCACGTCCCGACGCACCGTCTTCATGCGTACTGGAGGGAGGTGGGAGGATGGGGAATGGGAGGGCCAAAGGGATCATACTGATGACTGTGACACTTGCTGTAATAGCACTAGTTATTGGAACACTCACTATAAACATTGATCAATCAACTCACCATTGTAACACTCACCATTGTAACGCTCTCTATTGTCACACTTACCATTGTAACGCTCTCTATTGTCACACTTACCATTGTAACATCCCGAAGCCAGCAACCGGTCGGCAAACACCCCGAGGCGCCTCGCCGTCCACCTGGAGCTCCTCCTATTGGCCCACACTCCACCGACCAATCCCAGGGCAGCATCCACGTCAGCATCCGGTTTCCTCGCATCACCACCGTTGCCACCACCCCCATCGCCGTTCAAACCAGCATCCAACCCCATTCCGATGCCTGTTCCGCCCATTCCTATTCCCCCTACGCCCATGCCCATGCCCATGCCCATTCCTCCCATGCCCGTCCCCCCCATCACTCTCCGCACAGGTCCCCGCCTGACTTGGCTGAAGATGGCATGGTGGACAGGCGGGGAGAAGGGAGTGCTAGAGACTGTTCTTGACTTGTCCTGGGAGGAAAGGATGGAGGGAGGGAGGGAGTAGGATTGAGTGCGGTGAGGGACGGCTGGAGCGTGGCTTGGCTGAAGAGGGTGGAAAGGTTGTGTGAACAGGTGGGGAGTTTTGAGATGTCTCAGGTGGGGAGTTTTGAGATGTCTCAGGTGGGGAGTTTTGAGATGTCTCAGGTGGGGAGTTTTGAGACGTCTCAGAAGGGGTGAGGGACGACTGGAGCGTGGCTTGGCTGAAGAGGGTGTAAAGGTGTGATGGTGAACAGGTGAGGAGAGGAGGGCGGACTGAAAAAATAGATAAGAAAAAAAATCAACGACATTTCAGACCAGCCAACACTCACCGCATTCCGAACCACATAGAGCCCGCCGAACCGGGAGTGCCGCTGCGTGATCTTCTGGGCCAGCGCCTTCCGAGCCGCCCGCTCCTTCTCCCGCCGCCGAGCCTCCGCCAGACGTTCGGCAGCCTCCCGGTCCTCCCTCGCGTCAGCCTCGGCATCAGCCTCCCCGACAGCCCTGAACGCCGCTACAGCCGCGTCCTTAGGAGGAAATTCGCGAAGTAGGAGATTAAGGATCTCTAGGAACAAGAGGTTGTCGTGGCGAAGAGCTGGGGCGGTTTCGGGGGCGTCGAGGCAGGAGATGAGGAAAAGAAGGATGTCTGGGAAGCCGCTGCGGAAGAGAGAGCGAATAAGATCGTCCTGATAGGAGGGGGGGACGGGTGGGGAGGGAGGATGGGGTGGGCAGAGTGGGGGGGACAGTGGGGAGAAGGACGAGTGGGGCGATTTCGGGAAAAGGAGGATGTCTGGGAAGCCACTGCGGAAGAGAGAGAGCGAATGAGATCGTCCAGTGGGTAAAGAAGGGGTGTGGAATGGGCATGGGGGAAGGGGGCGTGGGCGGGGGGGAGGGGGAGGAGCGGGGTAGAATGATGGGGCGGTTTCGGGGGAGTCGAGGCAGGAGACGAGGAAGAGGAGAATGTCTGGGAAGCCACTGCGGAAGAGAGAGCGAATGAGATCGTCCTGTGGGTAAAGAAGGGGTGTGGGTGGGGGAAGGGGGCAGAATGATGGGGCGGTTTTGGGGGCGTCGAGGCAGGAGATGAGGAAGGGAAGGATGTCTGGGAAGCCGCTGCGAAAGAGAGAGCGAATGAGATCGTCCTGAGAGAAAAGAAATGGAGAGAGGGGGAGATGGGGCTAGAGTGGGGCGGGTAGTGGGGAGAGGGACGAGTGAGGGAGGTTTCGGGGTAATCGAAGCAGGAGATGAGGATGAGGACTTTTTAGGCGCCTAAAAAAAATCGTCTCATGATTCGAGGTAAGCGATGCAGGAGATGAGGAAGAGGAGGACGTTGGGGAGGCCACTGCGAAAGAGAGAGCGAATAAGATCGTCCTGGGAGTGGGGAGAGGGGGTGCGGGTTGTGTGCCTCCCGAGCCTATTTGTCAGCACGTTCACCGAGCCTGCTTGACGGCAGGTTGCCGAGCCTACCTGAAGGAAGCACAGATGCGCCCATGCCGAGGCTGAGGATACGTCTGGCGGAGGGTCGGGGATGGCAAGGAGGTTCCGAACCAGAGTGACTATCATCTGTACCAGCCGCCAGTCGTCGCTGCTGCCACGCCCACTGCATAGCAGAGGCGGGGGATGGATGGGGGAAGGCAAACGTTGGAGGGGGTGTGTGAGTGGAAAGGGCAATCAATCAATAAACTAGTGGAAAGACATGATCAAACTGCATTACGAAGTGATAACAAATCAAGTCAGGGGAAGAGGTACGTGTATTCGGGGCATGGGGAGGAAAACAAGAGGATGAAGCACACAAAGGGAGGGAGGAGGAGGTGCGGATGGGTGGGGAGGAGCGAGAGGGTGGGGAGTAGGGGGTCGGGGAAAGCCTTGTATGACAACACACTCTCCCATCAGCACTCTTTTTTATCAACGGTATTTCTGTATCCTCACTCTACCTTTGGATATTCTTAAGCGGATCGACGAGCAACTGAAGCACAATCGCGATCGCATCGCTCTCCCCACTCCCCACATAACCACTCCCACCACCGCCACCACCACCAGCACCAGCGCCACCATTTCTCGGTATAAGCCCACTCGTTGCAGCGCCGGTTCCGTGCAGCAGCGCGCTCTTGAAGCGCCTCTGGCAGTGGTGGTGCTCCAGCCTCAGCTTCTGCTGCTGCTGCCGCCCCGCCGCATCCAGATCAGGCGGTGGCGGCGGCGATGGCATGGTGAGGAACACGAGCAGCTTCACTGTTGGTTTGGAGGGGAAGGGACGAATAGGGATGTAATGCATTTACAGCCATCATGGCATGACACTCGTGGTGTTCCGGCCTCAACCTCTGCTGTCGCCCTGTCGCGTTGAGATCAGGCGGCGGGGGAGGCGACGGCATGGTGAGGAACACCAGCAGCTTCACTGTTGGTTTGGGGGGGGAGGGTGAGAGGGATTGGTAAGGGAGAAGGGGTGGGGACGTGGGGAGAGTCGGGGAATGGGGAGGTGGCGCTTGCAAGGAGAAAGAAGGAGTGTTTTGAGACGTCTCAAAACACTCCTTCTTTCAAGGGGTGGGGTCGTGGGGAAAGTCGGGGAATGGGGAGGTGGCGCTTGCAAGGAGTAGCGCGGAGTCGTGGCGGTATTGGCAGATGATGGGAACGAGGTCCGTTCGAACGATATCCCACCGACCCACCCAGTGGACTTGCATGTTGACTGGAAACGGACTGACTCACTTATTAAAGTGTACGCTTACCGGCGTTAAGGAGCAGCGCGGAGTCGCGGCGGTATCGGCAGATGATGGGAACGAGGTCCGTGCGAACAATGTCCCACCGACCCAGCTGCACGAGCACGTCTCGCGACACGGGGTGGTCCCGCCGCATCAGCCGCTGAAGATCGCGCAGGGAGCCTGAGAACAGGGACAAGGGCGAAGAGGAGTGGGGAGCGGAGGGGGAGGGGAGGAGTGTGGAGGGAGGGGGGATGGGGAGTGATAGTAATTTGGGAAGTGGGGGGTAATGTGCGAGCAGGAGGGGCACTAGGAGCCGCATCACGAGCACTCCCGCCTCGTCAGTCGCTGTAAGCGGCGAATGAGGGGGGCAGCGAAGCCACGTGCACTGCAAATATACTACGTGGCGAGCTGAGCCTATATGGAGAACGGCCTTCAGGGAACGAAGGAGCGAAACACGCAGCGGGCACGTGGTGACGGCAGAAACGAGAGGAGCGTCGTGTTAAGATAAGGCAGGTGGCTGATTACCGAGGCAAGTCGAATCAAAAGTCACCTGGTCATATACCGACGTGGCAAAATACGGGATAATCCATGGAAATTACCAAGGCAGTCTTCTCCCTTCTCGTACATCGTCCTCCCCTCCTCGTCTTCCCATTTTCTCCCCAGCCGCGTCGCGACGCTGCTGATGATACTCGGATGAATAAGAACCATGTCGATACCAGGGGTCTGAACCTCGTAATTCCGTGTCGTTCGCAACGAAGAAACACCCTTACATCCACTCTTTTTTCAGCAGCATCCTAATTTTCCCCGGCTGCGTGTCTAATCGAATTATCTCAAGCGTCGTAAATCCTGAGCTTTTTCTCGCACGATTGTTCACAAAACTTTTAGCCAGTGCAAGCTTCGCCTACACAATACCCGTGTGACGGAAGTTCAGCTGCAAGCAACAGCGGGAGCTTGATGCTAATCAAACGGCCAACATGTGGGACTCCTCCCGACTCATGCAAGGCCCGTTTTCAGAAAGTAGTTCCCTGTGTTTTCTGAGTCGTCTCCGTTGTTCCATTGACGAGTACGACGAGTTTATGAACCCAGCTGGGGCTTTGGACTGCTTGTTGGGCGGAACGAGGTCCGATCTTGCAGACGCGGCCTCATAATTTTGAATTTGCAAATTTTCAACTTACGCGCCTCACTCAATCCGCTTTATTGGAAACGCTTGTTTTCACTTTCGTGAGTCTATCACTCATCGTGTTGAAATTCCTTTTAGATGTCCCATAGAATCAGATTCATTATGTTTGTTCCGCGTAGGGTGTGCATTCAAACATGTGTAAACAGCCAGACCACACCAAATTATCGAGGAGTTTCATCCGAGCGAGTCGCTCGCAAACCACCAAATGTCAACCGCTTCCCCGAGCCGCCACATGTCGCATGCAACCCACGCTGCCGCAACGGCTCCCAATTCCCCAAACCAAACAGCCCCTTCCAGCCAAGCCAATTCAACCTCTCACCCAACAAACCCCCCTCAACCCAAATTCATCTCCCTAGCCCCTATTCCAGTCACCCATTTTTTCTGTTAGCTAGGACAGTTGGATTCACAGCCCAACCTCTGGTTTCACTGGCAGGAGAAAAGAGTCGTCGCAACTGAATGCTTGCTGGACGCTTCCTCGGTTCTTAACGACATGGGGCGGCGCGTGGCATGGGGAGTTAGCAGAAACCGCCCACGCTGGGTCGAGTTTTTGTTAGGGTCCTGGAGCGGAACAAAATAAAGAAAATCATTGATAAGCAGGCGCCGCGAAACGCGCAGGAGCCGTATCGTCAAAGCGCGCAGCCCTGTAAGAAGCTGTTGAATCCTCCGAATCCATTCAGAGCGCGTCTCCGTTCCACCAAACGACCGGTAGTTGCACTTAACGCCTCTAACCATGTCCAAACGGTGCGATCGCGCCGCCGCGACGCGGACAGCTGCACCGTCGCGGGGAGACTCTCGCAGAAACCCCCACTCAACCGCTGCGCCCTCTGGTCGCTCACCGCAGCTACGCTCACGGAACGCCTTGGATTCGAGGCCTTGGCCTTCCCGTGAACGAAACTATAAGTCAGGCGGATCTGTTGCTTTCAATCATCATCAGCTGAACACAAGCAGCTGTTAAACAAAGAGCTTGAGACAGCGGGTTCTCAAGCCGAAACTAACCGCTCCAGCTTCCTTTGCTTCCAACTTACTGCTAGTACAAATTTAAGTCCGCAAGAACCTCTCATCAAAGTTCCCAAACCACCATGGCGCTCCCTCGCGGCTTCTTCACTGCGGCAACGCTCGCCCTCGTCGCCCTCCTCGCGGCGTCCCTCCTCCCCGCCTCTCAGGCGCGCAAGGACGCGCTCAGCTCCGCGGACGACGCTTCCGCCGCGCTCTCCACGTCCGCCTCCGCGGACGCCGCCGTCTCTACTGCCGCGGGCGGCATGAGCGGCGCGGAGGCGATCGCTGATATGACCCAGCGCCAGGGCCCGCGGATTCTTCACTATGAGTCTTATCACGCGGATGAGCCTCTCCCGGAGCACCTGAAGGATATGGAGGTGCACAGGCGCGAGCTTCAGTCTAACCCCCCCCTTACCGATAGTGAGTGAACTTATCTTCACGATAAGTTATCGCATAAGCCCATCTCCTACCTTCTTGCTGTTTGCAACAAAGGCTTGGCCTCATCTCAAAATCCCTTTACTAAAAGGCAGAAGTGTTCCCTCCCCTTAACGCTCCCCCCTCCCCCGTTCTCCCCCTCCCGCCTCTCCGCAAATGCTTCCCCGTGAAACCCAGATTGCGGCAGGACGACCCTGAGAATCTCTCAGAAGTACGTGGGCGTTTGGTATCAGAAGAACTACATCTTCAATCTGACCATGGTCAACAGGTGCAAGTACAGCATCGTGAGCCCGCTCATCCTCTTCAACTGCTTCGACTTCGGCAATCTGATGGTTGGCTCGCTCGACAACCCCGCGCGCTACCCTTCACGGTTCCAGAACGTTCCGGTCTTCAGCCCTTGCTGCGTTGAGAGGTTCAAGAAGGGCAACTGCGCGATTCAATTCAACCAGGGCCCCAGGGGTAATGTCCAGTTTTACCCCGGGCAGACTCAGAGCTTTCTTTACGCGTGGAATTACCCGGTTGAGCCGTGCGTTCGGGAGCTGCACTTTGCGAACGGGGATACGTATTTCATGCCCGACGAGTTTGTGCGTACGGAGTGTACTCGTCCTGTTTTGTATGGTGTTCCTAAGTAGATGGGTAGGATAATCTGCTTTAGAATGTGCCTAGGGGATGGGTACCGGACTTGCGAAGTCCAGCCTTGCAAAAGGCTGATCGGGTGGATGGATGGAAGGTGTGGATGTAGCAGATTGGGTGGATGGAGTTGATGGGGCAGAGATAAAAGGGCTTGTAGATGTTTCTGATGTGTGCTTGTCTGTGAGACTTCAGTTTTACAGTGGAATAAGGCCCTGGGTGAAAATTACATCTGTTCTATTTTGCTTGTGGATGTGATCTTGCACTTCCAATTCGGATAGCGCCTTACAACTAAGTCATGATGGCTTGGCCTATGTATAATAGACTGTACCTTCTGTATGTCAAAGGATACGGATTAGTGCACAAATGCACATATCTCGCCCTTTTGAAACCTTCGTCAAACAGTTGGCAAGCTTCAGATCTGGTAGGAGCATGTCATTACCTTCTTGCTTATGCCTGAGCCTTGTTGAGACATTTGGAAGCTGTGTTGCCACGTGTAAGGAAAAACCCCTTGTCCTTAATGAGGTTTACTCAACCGCGTACAACCCCAACTTTCAGAAGTGCACGTTCGGCTACTTTGCTTGCTTCACCGGCGTGATTTCTGACGTGATTAGCGGCGATTTGCCCGAGTCACCAGAATTGCGCGTCGCCAAGACCGCTCGCGTCGCCACAGCCACAGTCCCGCAACCTGTACCCGTACCACATGCATTTTGCCTGCCTGGCAGTGACACACAGCGCCACACATGTGTGCATCGTCCAGGAGAGTCCTGCTTGGTCCCTTCCTCCCTCCCCACCAGACCCCCACCCACCGACCAGCCGCTCTCACCCAACCCCAACCCAGTCAGTTCATTTTATCCATCCAGTTTTCCTCCTCGTGGTCTCGTCTAGGGTTTGCAGACCACGCCTTCCTGCTGCTATTATAAGCATAGCTCCAGCATCTACCTCCAAGTCCCTCGTCATGGCTGTTGTCACCAGCGGTGAGGATGACGACGAGGCTTGTCTTCGGGTCCTGCACTCACCCTCATGAAAGGGCCTTCGCTTTTTAACAGTGCCTTCTAAGCGACTACTTGAACCAGAGCCCGTCGTTGCCTCTACTGAGGTTGAGACCGCGCTGGCTGAAGCGGGGCGTGACGTGCACCACGACGCCTGAACTGACACCACGAAAAGCACAACACATGTAATGGAGAATACCGCTGCTGCTCACAACTGTGCTGCCAAGAAGCTGAAATCTGGTTCGTGTTTGGCACGGCAGAAGTGGCGGCAGCAACCTAAGTCGAGTTTCACTCGCGGGGCTCATGCATACGGTAGCAATGTTCAATGTTGGCAAGAAGCGCCGCCCTGCTCAAGAGTTCCTATACCGTATTAACTTGTGCTCACTGCTAAGCTTATTCTGTTAGAACCAGGCACTGGTGCTTTAGTTGCTCTGTTAGTTAGTGCCATCTTTAATATGTAATCCACGCTTAAGTCTAAACATGAAAGGGTGAAAACAATGTGCACACTGATGAGCAAGAGTACCTTTCCAGCTGACACTGATAAAAAAGACTGACATGGCTGACCCACCCTTACTGAAAGACCAACTTCAGCGAACTGGCCTTGCGAGTAAGAGTGCCCCAAATCCTATCCAGAGGCCTGACCCACGGCAATGTTGGCGCCAGAAGCAAGCTCATATCGTTCTCGCTTCAGACAAGACCTTGAAAATGGCATGTCAACGGTTCATAATGCCGATGATAAGCTCGTTTAGGAGTCATGGCTGAGTCAAAGGTGTAAGAAGAATGTTGGGTTCATAGTCTTGATACTGGAATTGAAGTGGGTGGATAATATAGCGTGTAATGTCTACGTTCTAACGCGTTTATCAGCTGTGCATTTTTACTGAGTTTTCGAGCACATTGTTCGAGCGAGTCGCAAATTCCTAATGTCAACCGCTTTTCCGAGCCGCCACATGTCACATGCAACCTCTGCTGCCGCAGTGACCCCCCAAATCAAACAGCCCCTTCCATTCCAAACCAACCTCTCCCCTAACGACCCCGTCAACCCAATTCATTTCCCATTTCCCCCAAATCCCTTGCTCCCAACAAATCCCATTCTCTTCCCACCCCCTTGTTTCACTGCCAGGTGTCGTCGCATCGCAACTACTTCGTTGCTCACGCTTCATCAGTTCTTAACGACATCTTGAAACCCGTGGCGTAGGGAGTTAGCAAGAACAGCCTAAGGTGGGTATATTTTGTTATTGGGGTCGCTAAAAAATGTTCTGCAAAGCTACGTGCCGCCGAAGCACGCAGGTGCCGTATCGTCGACGGCGAGGGCATCGGCCCTCCTCGCGGCCCCTCCCTCGCGGGGAATGGGACACCCTCGGCCCGAATAGAGCTGTTGGTTTCTCCGAATCCACTCAGAGCGCGTCTCGACCCCCCCAAACGACCGCTAGTTGCAAGTAACGCCTCTAGCCATGTCTAGAAGGAGAAATCACCGCGCCGCCGCGAAGCGACAGCTGCATGGTCGGGAGAGCCTAGCGGAACCGACCTTCAGCGTGTAACACCTTCACCGAGAAAGACCTTTACCCTGAACCTTCACTCACTGAGCCTAACGAATTCGATACGCCTTCTGGTCGGTGCTAACCAGTGCTACTACGCTCACGGGACGCTTTAGTAACGACGTCTCGCCTTCGCCTTCCCCGCGAACGAATAAAGTCAGACGAATTGGTTGCTTTCAATCATCATTCGCTGAAAACAAGCAGCTGTTAAACAAGAGCTTGAGGCAACGGATTCTCAAGCAAAAATCAACACTTTCAGCTTCGTTTGCTACAATTTGACGTTCCTCGCAACTATGGCGCTCCGTCACGGCCCTCGAGGAGCATCAGTGGAGCTAGGGCAATCTAGGAGACCGGATATCTCGGCTGATGCGGCGCTCGCCCTCGTCGCCCTCCTCGCGGCGTCCCTCCTCCCCGCCGCTCACGCACGCAAGGACGTGCTCAGCTCCCCGGACGACGCTTCCGCCACCACCTCCGCGCTGCCCGCGTTTGCCTCCACGGATGCTGCCGTCTCCGCCGTCTCCGCCGCCGCTGCAGGTGGCGCGAGCGTCGCGGAGGCGATCGCGGATATGATTCAGCGTCAGGGCCCGCGGATTCTTAATGTTGAGTCTTATAACGCGGATGAGCCTCTCCCGGAGCACCTGAAGGACATGGAGACGCACAGGCGCGAGCTTCAGTGGAAGCCCCCCCTTACTGATAGTGAGTGAGCTTATCTTATCTCATATGCCTCATCTTCTACCTTCTTACTGTCTGCAACAAAAGCTTAGCCTCATATCAAATGCTGGCAGTGCTGCTCCGAGCATAGGAGACGAGTCGTCTCCTATGCTTCATCTCACATTCCTCCTCTGATATGCTTCGTCTCATATGCCCCATCTCATCCGCCTCATCTCACATGCCTCGTCTCACATGCCCCATCTGATCTGCTTATCTCATATGCCTCCTCTCATATGCCTCATCTCATCTCATATGCCTCACCTCATATGCCCCATCTCATCTGCCTCATCTCATATGCCCCATCTCATCTGCCTCATCTCATATGTCTCAATTCATCTCAAATGCCTCCTCTCATATACCTCATCTCATATACCTAGAATGGATTAGTGTTCCCTCCCTTACCCTTTCCACCCTCTCCCCCTCCCCTCCCTCCCCTCCCCTCCCCTCCTCTACTCGCTCCTTCCATCTGCCAAATCTTCCCCATAAATTCCAGATTGTGGCAGGACGACCCTGAGAATTGCTCAGAAGTACGTGGGCGTTTGGTATCAGAAGAACTACATCTTCAATCTAACCATGGTCAACAGATGCAAGTACAGCCTCCTAAGCCCACTTATCCTCTTCAACTGCTTCGATTTCAACAACCTTATGGTTGGTTCGCTCGACAACCCCGCTCGCAAACCGACCCGCTTCCAGAACGTTCCGGTCTTCAGCCCTTGCTGCGTTGAGAGGTTCAAGAAGGGCAACTGCGCGGTTCAATTCAACCAGGGCCCCAGGGGTAATGTTCAGCTTTACCCCGGGCAGACCATGAGCTTTCTTTACGCGTGGAATTTCCCGGTTCAGCCGTGCGCTCGGGAGCTGCACTTTGCGAACGGGGATACGTATTTCATGCCCGACGAGTTTGTGGGTACGGAGTGTACTCTTCCTATTTTGTACGGTGTTCCTAAAAAATAGGGGTGGGTGAGTAATATTCTGGAGAACGTGCTAGGGGATGGGTACGGGACTTGACATGAAAGACCTTGCAAGAGGCTGATTGGGTGGGTGGATGGATGGATGGATGGATGGGGTTGTGGATGCAGCAGATTGGGTGGATGGAGTTGAAGGGGCAGAGATAAAAGGGCTTGTAGATGCTTCTGATGCGAGGTGTGGTTGTCCTTGAATAATAATGGAATAAGGCCCTGGGTGAAATTCGCTTCCATTATGACGTGGCCCTGAGGACTGCCATGGTATACTGTATGCATTGGTATGGTACAGTTCTGGTAGACACTCTACGCTGCGTCTGACACAACTTTCAAAGCGCTTCAAGGGGAGTGCAGTGGAGTGGACAGCGGCACCGTACCGTATGTGGAGCGAGAGTGTGAGTGACTGGCGTACAAGAGCCTTGGTAGGGCCAATGCATTTCCCACAAGGCACTATGCTGCAGTGCAGGGTGTTTTTGAGAATTCTCAAAAACGCCTTGCAGCATCATGGTTGGGCCATATATGGAGCGAGAGTGCGAGTGACTGACGTACAATAAGAGCCTTGGTTGGGCCAATGCATTTCCCACAAGGCGCTATGCATGCCACACTAGCTTGTGAGTCGTGACTTGACTCCCGGACACGCCGGGACCAGCGGCAGAGGCAGCAGCGCGTGTGGACCACGGGGGGTGCAGTAGGCTGCTAGATACCAGTGCAAGTGTGTGCGTGACTGCTGTAGAGGAACCTTAGTGGGACTTGAAACTCTTTCGTTTTCTCTACAGGACTGATTTATGTACTGGTACGTATGCTCCGCTACAAGGCACCAGGGCTTGGAGTTGATTTTGAGCTGACTCAAGCAGCTGCTAGGCAGTACGAGTGTATGCGTGACTGCTAGTGGAGGGGCCTCAGTTGGACTTCAAACTCTTTGTTTCCTCAAGGCACAAGGGTCTGGAGTTGATATTAAATTGACTAAAGCATCTGCTAGTATATAGCGCGTGAGTGTGCGTGACTCCTGTGGGTGGAAGAGCCTCATCGGGTCAGATGGGCTTCCCCAACAGGTCTGATGCACGCTGCACCACCACAAGGCCAGTAGCAAGCAACACAACTACCAGTAGGCACAGAAGCTGTTGCTAGGATAAGATAAAGCAATATAAGGGAGTTGGAAGAGCTAACTACCAGACTGTACAGAGGAGGAAGGAGCTGCTGGACTGGAAGGCCAAGGCAGCTTCGGCGATTCCCAAACCACGTTCAGAGGAGCTTCGGTTAAATCAGCACGAGCATTGGTACAGCAGCAGGGGACAGCAGCAGAATAGAGCAGCGCAAACAGGGAAGCAGGACAGAGAAGCAGGAGAGAAGGGTGTCGTCTCACTTAACAAACATGAGCAAGAGCACAGTAGCAGGCACGACAAGCAGTGACGACACCAGTAGCACCCCCACCAGCACCACACATGACCAGTGCCATTTCCTCCCATCCCCTCCCCCCTCCTTCCCTCCTCCCTGGCTGCCTTCCCCCTCACCCCCCATAGCCACATAAGCTGAAGAAGCCCCACCAACCCCTCCCCCTGCCCATCCCCTCCCCCCCCCACTCCCCCCTCCCCCTCCCCGCTCTGGAATCCCACCAATCCGCTTCCTCGCTTTCGCCAGCTCATCGCTCCCTATTCCGCTTTCCAGCAGCCACACAAGCTCCTGGATCCCCTCCTGCAGCCGCGCCAGCCTGTCGCCGACCTGCGCTGACAGCTGCTGACGCGCCGCCAGCTCAGACACGAGCCGTTCCACGTCAGCGTCGAGCCCTCCGACTCCCGAGGTGGATTGGGAGGGGCGGAGGTAGGGGAGGGAGGAGATGGACGAGCAGAGGAGGCGGGAGAGAAGGCACTCGGGGGTGGCAGGCGAGCAGAGCTGCTCGACCAAGTCGTTGGAAGGGGCGCAGCCTGTCACGTCCGTGTACCTGAGGTGGCGGGGGTAGTGGGAATGTTGTTGTTGTTGTTGTTGTTGGTGGTGGTGGTGGTGGTGGTGGTGGTGGTGGTGGTGGTGGTGGTGGTGGTGGTGGTGGTGGTGGTGGTGGTGGTGTGTGTGGGTCTCTGTGGGTGGGTGTTGGAGACGGGTTGGGGAATATCTAAGGTGTGGGTGGGTGTGAAGCGAGAAAGGAAAGAATCAGGAGATGAGCCATAGGCCGTCCATAACTCCCATCCAAGCACTTCCCCCCTGCAGAGTCTCTCACGCCGATAATCAATCCACCCCCACCCTTCCCCCCTTCCCTCCCCCCAGCTTTCCTTCCATCCGCAGCCTCCCTGAGCCGCCTCACTCACTGCATAGCCCATTCACCATTCAAGCCCCTCACTACATCTCATCACGCCCACCTTCACGTGAAGCGAGGTTGCTTTTGAGACGTCTCAAAAAAAATCACTGCATAGCCCATTCACCATTCAAGCCCCTCACTACATCCCATCACGCCCACCTTCTTTTGAGTCGACTCAAAAGTCACCTGAGCCGCATCACTCCATAGCCCATTCACCATTCAAGCCCCTCACTACATCCCATCACGAGCTGGTTTTTGAGAATTCTCAAAAACCAGTTCCCTGAGCCGCCTCACTCACTGCGTAGCCCATTCACCATTCAAGCCCCTCACTACATCACATCACGCCCACCTTCACGTGAAGCGAGGTTGTTTCTGAGACGTCTAAAAAAAAATCACTCCATAGCCCATTCACCATTCAAGCCTCTCACTACATCTCATCACGCCCACCTTCTCCTCGCAGTGTCCCAGACGCCCATATTCAATCGGAGTACCACGTCACCAGCCTCCTCGTGCCGCCGCCATAGCCCATTCACTCCTATTAGCCCTTCCCAAGACACACCAGCACATCTCCAGACTATCCCATCACGCCCACCTTCTTCTTGCAGTGTCCCGGACACCCATGTTCAATCGGAGTGCCACGTCACCAGCCTCCTTGTGCCGCCGCCATAGCTTCTCCACCATTGCAGCCGCCACTGACGCTTTAATGTGCCCCATGGCCGCATTTCCCGCTCCCCTGCTGCTGCTGCTGATGCCACTGCTGCCGCTGCTGCTGTTGCCGCTATTGTTATTGGTCCCGATGCTGCCAATTCCCGAGCCTAACCACGCCCCCAAGCCTCCAACTCTACTCACCACACCCCCTCTCCCCCCACTCCCTCCTCCCCCAATCCCGCCTCTTCCCAGCTTCCCGCTGTTGCTCAGGCTGCCCGAGTGCTGGTCATTTCTGGGGTAATTTACCCTGTCAGACTCCCCTGTAAAGATGCTGCTGATAAGGTCTCTCAAGTTTCCAGTCACTGTGCCTTGCAGTCGATCCAGCTCTGACGTCATCCTCTCTGCAAGCTTCTGCGAAATTAGAATAAATCAAGGGAGGGAGGAGAAAATAGGTTGGAAAACCTTACGCTGTGTTTTTTTTATGCACAAAGTGGCTCATGCAAGCAATTTATCAACAATCAAACGCACCTCCACTGCATCTTTGCTTGATAATAGCCGATAGTCGTCCACAAACCCTAGCAGCCTCGCTATAGTCACTTTCAAATCGCGTAACTCCTGATCCACCTCCCCCGCTCGCGCCAAAAACTGCTCCACCTGCGCCGCTAGCGCGCCGCCCGGCGGAATTCCCGCCACTGCCGCCGTGGCTACCGCCGTCGCCTCCGAATCCGCGTCCCCCGCATCCCGCGGCGCGATGCGCTGCGCCACATCATCGGATCTAGGCCCCGCTATAAGCTGCTGCTGTAGCTGTCCGCATGTGCTTATAGAGGAGGTTCGCGCGGAAGAGAGGTCGACTGAGGTGAGGGAGGACGAGACGGACGAATCAGAGTCCGCAGCGGGTGTAACATTGGCAGTCGCGAAATGATTATCGTTCGCGAAAGTCGTCAATCCAAAATCCGCTGTTGCGAAATTCGTAGGTGCGAAACGGTCGGCAGGCACAGTAGCGTGAGGGGCACCGTGAAGGGACGGGGAAAACGACGGACGAGGAACCGAGACTTGATGAGGAAGCTTTGGGGAAGGTGGACCGGACGGAACGTCAGAATCAAGGGCGAGGGAGAAGACGGAATCCGTGTCGTCAAGGTCGTTAGAGCAACGGACGGATACTGACGCCGGAATTTCCGACGACAAGCGGTGCGAGACTGGATTTTCAAGGGACACGTGTCGCGGAATTCCTGGAGCAGCAAGCGGGCTTTGTCTGGCCGACATAACGTGTTCCTTTCAGAGAAGGTTTTTGCACCGATTAGTTTATGCGAGCTATAATTGGCTTACACTGTGCAGAGCCTCGATTGCAGACTAGATAAAACGCCTGCGTCTGCGAGGTAATGGGCTATTGATATACCCGCCTAAGAAGCAGAGCTTGTAGGCTGTTGACAGTCGTTTCACTTACGCGCTGGCCAACAACTAATGTTTGTTACACAATCTCCAAAATAGCCACACTCGCTAATGGATGTTGTCGACGCATCTTGATCGTTCGACCCGGCGCGCATCTCGACGTGCGAGGAGTAAGAAGAGGGGACGAGAAGGAACATGAAGGTGCCCAGTCTGAATGCATGAGCCCAACAATTACCGTACCCTATGCGAAGGAAGCGCTAACGCGACCTTAACGACCCGCATCGACTACAATCAAGAAAGCTCCAACTGCGGAAAGGGGGGGCTGCAAGTAGTTGCTGGTACCGACCAATGTCGCTATTGAGCAGTCTAAGGTGGAGGTATATTCTACTTCTAGTCTAGAAAGTCAGTCCAAAGCCTTGCAGTAGTTATCAGGGCATGCCCCCAAATTCAGTTTCAATGCGACATAACAGGGTTCTTTGCGCTTTAGAGCTCTTGAATAAATTATACAGCGCGGTTGAGAAGGGTCCGAGGGAGGAATCGTTACCATTTGCCCCCTCTCCCCATGACCAGTTTCGGCTGCTACTGTACCATTCTAGCTGTTGAGCTGAAGCTATGTTGCTGTTCGGTGTTCCCAAGGGAGTGTGGCGCGACGACCGTCAAGTTAC